TAATGGGGCTAAAAGGGTAGAACAGGTAAGAAAAGAGCCATCAAACGTACGGGTAAAAAACGACACGGGGAGTTTTGTTGGACGATAGAAAAGGTGGCGGCAAAGTAAAGGATGGGGGAAACCAGCAGTTAGAATCGTGATGGACGGAGACAGAACGGACCACTAGCACACACGGCCATTTCTATCGGATCTTTACTGTATTCTAGATGGCCAGTCACCTGTGGAGGTCCCCATTGTCAAGCCTGATCAGAATTAAAATAAATTAGCTTGAGGGAGCATGAGTCTTAGAGTAAGGAGCAGCAAAATACATAAATATGGAGTTTGAACGGGTAATGGTCCAAGCGTTGGGGAAGAATCAAATTTAAAGCGTTGCTTAGGACGGGTCAAAGCAAACAATGGGAAAGTAGAGCCGTGCGTGGGAATTCGGGCCGATAATACTGCTTTGAGGACCCTCGACTGTTCGTGTGGACATAGCGGTACAGTCCAAGGGAAAAATCCAGTTCTGGGGTTCTGGAAGGGGGGGGGGTGTTAGACCCCCTCTCCAGAAAGATGTTTTGGAGAGAGGTTTGCGTTCTGGAAAACGTTCATTTCTCCAAACTTTCCCTTGATTCAAGGGAGTTTTCCATTTCCTAACCCTTAAATTAGTTTATGGGGCATCTGGATTTAGAAAATCTGGAAATCTGGACTATGGGAAGTCATCCATTAGAAAGTTAGGTAATTTGACCTCCCTCTATGACTTGTTTATGCTCTGAAGGGCAGTTTGGTATTCAGATGCTGATGCGCGCAAAGGGAGAAAAAAATTGCATGCTTCCACCACTCTGTCTCAAATATATGAGATAAGACGAAGAGGCATGCTCCATGGAGGACCAGTCTCAAGACGATATCCTCCATTTTGACTAGGCTCGCTCGTGCATGTCGTGCTTTGCCAGCAAACGTAAACATTAGGCACCGTTTAGAATCCAGGGGGCATTCGTCACGGGCAGATTCATGGTCGGCGCACAAGGCAACGGCCTGGATCTCGAGCTAAACTGTCTCGTCCAATTCCTTGAAGTGGCACTTATAATATGAATGTTTTCGTGCTACTCTTCCATTATCAAAGAACAAGACGGTCAGCGGAGTACGATGCAGAGAGTGCTTCAACACGCAGCGCCTCCGCTGACCGCTGTCATCAGCATCGTCCAAGGATTCACCTATCCTCTGACTGAATTTTCATCCTACCAGACCGATCCAGGAGCTTTTACTTTACCTCTTTGCCATCATGAGCGGGTCAGTCGCTATGAGGCGCCGAGTGTCGCAAAAATAAAAACCCACGAGAAACGAGTTTTTTGTTGAAATCAGCGCGAGAACGGGGTTTTTGGAGGAAGCGCAAGAGAAATCTTTGCTGAACTCAGTGAGAAGGTCCAAGTTGAGGACACACAAGAAAGCGCGAGAGATGTCCTTGAGATCGACTGAGCGAGAGTTGTTGCGAGAGGCAAGCGAGAGAAAAGTGGCGAGAGAATGGTAGCGAGAGAAAAGCCGCGAGGAAAAAAAAGTAGAGAGAAAAAAAGTAGAGAGAAAAAAGCCGCGAGAAAAAAGTGGCGAGAAAAAAGCAGCGAGAAAAAAAGTAGCGAGAAAAAAGTAGCGAGAAAAAAGTAGCGAGAAAAAAGTAGCGAGAAAAAATGGCGAGAGAGAAAAAATGAAAGAGTCAGACCGCGAGAGAAAGTCAAATGCAGATATATTCGAGCAGAGCTTGTATACAGATTAAACTACTTTACGGTAGACTTAGACTATATAGTCTAAGATAAACTCCTGACGGGTCAATGGTCACATGTAGCAATGGTAGCGGCAAGAGAAGTGCACGCATTGGTCAACGGGTCGGACACACTAAGAGACCTAGGATAGGGACAAAAGGTTCATGTTCAGACGAGTCTAAGAAAACGGAAGACATATCGCTCACCGTTGATGTGATTGAGGGCACATCAGCGGAGTTGTTGGACGGGCATTCCGAGGTTCTCCCCACTTCAGTTGAATGTCATCGCGAGGTTGCAGAAGAGCGATTCCCGGCTGAGATAGGAGAGAGTATTGAATAAATTTATGTGTTCAAGAGTAGCCTGACTAGCATTGGCACATGCTTACATTGAGAACCAGCCGGAAGCCGCACCCAAAATTGGAAATGTCGGTGTTGATGCTTGGCACCAAGTAAGGCAAGTTTGGGGCATTGCAAGTAATGTCGACATGGGGCAGCTTTCCATCGGTAAGTCTTCTACAAGTTCATGGTGCAAAGAATGGTTGGATAGCCGTACGTGGAGGATGGTGGTGGTTGGCGCAAGTTGATGCAAAAGGGATTGTCACGTAGACAAGCAAACCAGCAAACATTGTTGAGCCGGCCCTCGTTGCCTTTGACCATCCATCCACCTCCTCCGATACTTTCTCACTCGTCTACCCCGACATCAAGTCTCAACTCGTCAAGCAGATACCCTCCACTAGCCTCCCTTCTTTCGAGACAAGGGTCTCCTCAGTGGCTTCAAACCTCTTCGGCACAACGGCAGTCCACTTTCAAACATGTCGTGACGACTACCAAACGTTGTACGGGCCGGGATTGTCACTTTTTGGGAGTGATCTCGGAGTCCGTTTAATCGCCAAATTCACCGACCACACGCTGGCAGCAATGTCAACGGCATCTGGGCCCAGAACACTGTGATGCTATCTGTGTAACGGCTCAACGTCTCAGGTAAGTTGGCACTTGTTTCACGTGATAGGGCTGATCCCCATGACGACCCGCTTGCACGATCTTTCCGCACAGCGGCTTTGCTCTGTCGTCTGGCGACTTTCCTTCTTGAATAGAATGCTGTGTGAGTCAGTTGTTTCTTGGCTTCCTGTGCTTGTCTGACCATGAACCTTTTGTCCCTATCCAGGGTCTCTTACTGTGTCCGGCCCGTTGACCAATGCGTGCACTTCTCTCGCCGCTACCATTGCTACATATGACCATTGACCCGTCGGGAGTTTATCTTAGACTATAGTCTAAGTCTACCGTAAAGTAGTTTAACCTGTATACAAGCTCTGCTCGAATATATCTGCATTTGACTTTCTCTCGCGGTCTGACTCTTTCAATTTTTTTCCTCTCGCGATTTCCTCTCGCGATTTTCTCGCGCTACTTTTCTCTGGCTCTTTTTTTCTCGCTACCTTTTTCTCACTACTTTTTTCTCGCTACCTTTTTTCTCGCTACCTTTTTCTCGCCACTTTTTCTCGCCACTTTTTTTCTCGCTGCTTTTTTCTCTCTACTATTTTTTCTCTCTACTTTTTTTTCTCTCTACTTTTTTTTCCTCGCTGCTTTTCTCTCGCTACCATTCTCTCGCCACTTTTCTCTCGCCTGCCTCTCGCGACAACTCTCGCTCAGTCGATCTCAAGGACATCTCTCGCGCTTTCTTGTGTGTCCTCAACTTGGACTTTCTCGCTGAGTTCAGCAAAGATTTCTCTCGCGCTTCCTCCAAAAACCCCGTTCTCGCGCTGATTTCGACGAAAAACTCGTTTCTCGCGGGTTTTTATTTTTGCGACACTCAGCGCCTCATAGGAGTACACATGGATCTAAAGATAGCGAACAGGTCTAAGGGCGCCAACCGGCCTGCTGTGGGCTACTGTCATCACCCTCCCTTTCCCTTGATCGAATCTTCCTTCGACCAGACCTGGCCAGAGCTTTATCCCTTATTCTGTCGTCTCTGCGAGCGATCGTGATCGCGGCTGCCTCTCGGAATCGTCGTTGCCTTCTTCGTCGACAATCTTCATCGCCCGACCGGCTTTGGGATATTTACATCCGCCACTTCCTAGTACTCAATCCAATTGAAACCTACGGAAACCGGAGTGGGAAATAATAAGAGTAGTCATTTTACAGTCGCCTTATAGTCCCCGTCCTTCGTGTGCAGAGACGTCAAACTTCCCCCAAACAATTCAGCGATTTTGCCAGCTTCCGAGTAGTTTAGAAGGATCAGAGAATTTTGGGAAGGTCTTGGTGCATTTAAGCGGTTTACTGCACTCTCGACGGGTCGTAATCTGCGGACTGAATATCCGCCATGGTCGCGAATCTGCAGGAAATCATGGATCGTGTTTCAGTCCCCCAGATACTTGTAGCTCGCGTTCAATTCTGTCGCGAGACTGAGGTCGGAGGTGAACCGGCGGCATTGATTCTTAGGGAAAGGTCGAAAAGTGGCAGTTCAATGTCCTATCTCCTCCGGACAATGGGTTAGACCGCCGCTGGAATGCCAGGCTTTTCAATCGAGCACTGATGGATCATAGACGCTCTAACGAAGCTGAGTAAGTTTGCTAGCGTATTCGGGATGCTGTCGTCGGCTATCTTGGGCGTTCCCGCGTTCTTACCCTCATGGGGGAGTTCATTTCATTCGAGACTATACCGCGCTTGTCTCTGTGCATTCTAAGTATAGATGTGAGGTGTGAGCATTGATATATTGACAATGCTGAGTTACATTCTCCAGCTTGCACTCCTTGGCGTACCATGATATGTCCGCATAGCTCTCAGATCTCGTCCACGAAGCATAACCGAATTTGGAAGTAAGATCATAAGTTATAGCTATAGTAATCCCATCTAAGTAGTAATAAGATTTTGTTAGTTTTATGAGACCTATGATAGAAGCCCAAGAAAATCGACTTGCAGCAGTATGCTCGAAGATCGGATCCCCGTCCGTCGGACAATATACAACGTCTCAGTGACTCCCGAGGCCCCCTAGCAGATATATCGCGCTTCTAAGCTTTTTTCAAAATCTCCCTTGGACAGTAATTTTGGTCAAGCGTAGGGACAGACAAGGAGGAGGGGCGGACTTCGAAATTTCGCCCACACGCCGGATACAAGCCCATGCCAGTCAGAACTTAAGGAGATAAATATCAATAGTCTTTGACCTTGATGACGGCTTTATATTCACTCTGAGCTGGGGAAATGATGTAGGCAGTGGTCACCTTGAGATCTCATTTGTGTGCGTTATAGACGGCTCAACCGGTGATTTCTCCGAGCTGGGGTTCTAGCTCATCGGTAGAGCGCTCGCTTCGCATTCCGACGAATTGGATAACTTGCGAGAGGTGAAGGGTTCGACTCCCTTGTGCTCCATGCACTTTTTTGCCACACGATCTGGCGGCTTATTTATGCTGGAAGCCTTGAATATTCTATGGCAGTGGGCCAATGGGCAGGGATCCCATCTACCCCCCTGTTGTGACTCTGCACCCCTCAACCTTTTATGACGACGGAAGACGTGACCCGACATTAACATCTAAAAGAATGCATGTTCGCCACTCGGTGAAGTACACTTCTCCGACTGAACCGTTGAACCGCCAAATAACTTTCCATTACATAGGCATGCACATCTCTAGAATTTCTTAGCAGTAGTAGATGATATCCCCAGGTCCTAGTGGTGTTGAACTACTCCGGGGGTCATTTGACTGCCGCCTGGAAAACCCTCTGCTTGATTACGATTGGAGCATCGAGGAATTAAACCCTACACCCCAACTTTTTCCACCTATAGCAGTCCCCATCGAGTGAAGAGAGCCTACTCTCTCTAGCTACTACTTTGCTTATGCTTGTAATATCACCTGCTTGAAAAAAAAGCAATGGCAGCCAGGAGTGGGCATTTGATCCGGCGATCCGCGATGAGATGTTTTTCCAAAGACACAATCACAACAGACCCTCGATCAATTTACGAAAGTGAGTGGGGCTTTATATAGCTTAAGTAAGTCACGGTGGCGGCAAATAAAGTAAGCTCAAGGAGTGAACAATTTCCAGGGGTCCTCGATTAGGATTTTATAGCGCGTGAAAAAAAAAGAGAGCCACAAAGCCCAGGGAGACAGAAGCTAGGTAGCTGAAATCATCTGTTATACCGTGATGCTACTTTACTTTCGATACCACATCTGCAGTTCGATTGGGCGCGATCTATTCATCCTAATACAGCCTACGTAGCTTCCCTCCGAAGACGCGATCGTGCAGCTCATCAAAACTATCTCTTCATCCTCTTAGGCTCTACTAAAAGCATTATTCAGCTACATTTATATTGCTTCCAAGCGTTCGTCGTATCAATAATGGCATGGAACTCGCTTTTTGAAGGAACATGTATTCTTCAATTGTCAATAGGCTCTTTCACCTTACGTGTGAATGTTACAGGCTCAATCAGAAATCTAAGGTATATATTACTATTCAGGGCATCGAAGAAACGCAGCAAGTCATGACCCTGCACTCGAAAACAACCGGCGGACACGGAAGCTAATATTACTTCCGTTTCCCCCACTACCCTACGAGCCAGATCAGCGTTGCCAGACCAGCCCATCATAGTATACTTAAGGGAGAGATTTTCTCTTAACTTCCGTCGATCAACCCCTTCAAGACTCGAAGAATGGACCTCATCGAAGCGACGTCTTCTGACGGTTCAAGCCACGGGTCAGGTCCCCGTACCGTCACCAGGGATGGTGCGTCTTGGTAGCGACGGGGATAACATGATCTACCAAGGCCGTGCTCCCGTCAAGCCCGTTGGGGCTGTCAAGCGTTTCCGATCCCAGCGGCTCAACCTGAGAGGCTGGGTGAGAAGAACTGCTCAATTCTCCTTGCAATCGCCTTCACTAACGTCCTTTTCCCGTGACTGTAGACAGCCCTCTGGTAGGGCTTAGGATCTAAAAGAGTGCCATCGTACCCGGGCGAACGACGACGGCTGGTGCTGTGTTCGCTTCCTGGTTAACCGTTATGGTGCTGTTAATTGGATGACCGGATCAAACTCGAGACCGGTATGACCGGCTGGAAGACAATCGTGCGGAGAGGAGAGGAGACGACACTACGTAGCAGGTTTTTTTGGAGCTCGAAGACGAGCCCGTACCTCCTCGTGGTGAGCCCTGGTAACGGCTAACTCTCAGCTGCTGGGAAAGGCGGCTAGATCGCGTTTGCAAATGTACGTGATCGAGGTTTCATGAGATCTAAGAATATATACTTTTGCGACTCTGGAGGTTTTCAGAACACAGACCTCAGACCGAAATCGGCATTGCGAAAGAACTCGATACGAGCCTACATCACCTGATACTTTCGAGAACGCCAAATTTGATACGCGAGACGAAGGGAAATGTTAAGACATCAGCGAACGGGCAGGGATATGTTCGACTTAGACTCTCGGGATATACATGTTACCTATCAGGCTCCAAATGCAACTACTTAAATCAAGCTCCGCATATAGATAACTCCTTCATCTCCTGTAGCACACCCTCCACCTGCGCATCAAGCTGACCAGCAGCATAGTCATCCCGAACGGACTCGGCAAAGTACCTGCTCAAATAGCAATCGTTCAGCACTCGCGCATGCCCGAATTCAAGGGAACACGTCACCTTTGAACGCCGCCGAGTTTCTCGTACCCTTCTTCCGCGAACTTGACTTGCATTCGAATCATGGCTTCAAAGCTAGGATCGAAATACGGTATCCTGAGATCAAGGAGCTGAGGCAGTTCGGCGATGAGTTGGTCGTTCAGCATGTCGAAGATCTCTTTCGC